TATCAATCAAACAATTTGAAAAATTATGAATAGGGACCCCATGTCAGCATTTTTTCTAAATATTGAACCGATTTACTCAAAAGAGGATCTTTCTGATTTTTATTGCATGAAAACGTTATTATCCTGGAAGTCCTGTCTATCGAAGTATTTTGTTTTCAAATCTTGCATTCACGCCATGTGGAACAGTCATACCGGGTCATACAAGAATTTAGTATAAATCTAGAGGCCTGTAGATCGACCGATGTCCTGGCGGGTGCCGTACGGCCATCGGCGGATAGCCTTGCTATACCCGTGCGATGTCTTTCAGATTCAATTGATTGCGGGCGCCGTACGATGCCTGTACTAATGTGACCATACTCACGATTAGATCAAGACATCGGTAAAAATTCACCGGCGCCCGGTCGATTTAGAAATCGGCCGATGCCTACTCATCGGCCGGCGCCCGGCGGCTATGTGACCTAAGCATAAGATGATGCTGTAGAAACCCTTATAATTATAATATAAGGAACCAGAGCTATTAGGCTTTCTGATGGCTATGTGTTTGCCATCAATTGCAGCAACGCAATTTGGAAAGTTCCACTTCTCGAGGAAACCATCAGCCAATTATTTCCATTCTTCAGGTGTGGATGGGGCTGTCATGACCTCATCAACATATTCGTCACATATAGCTTGACAGACTTCTCTTACCACTACAGAGAGTGTATTCTCAGCAACCCGCCAGGAGTACTGGATGTCAGAGTACTTGGCACCAGAAACCAGGTGGCGAATAGTGGCAGCTAGTTGAGGCCTGGACCTAAAGGCTCTCTGTACCAGCTATGTTGTTTCCATAGCCGAGGACGGACCCTCTCAAAGATTTCGTCATACATTTCTGTTGGCATACAGAGGAACTTTTTGAATGTTCTGGGGTCCTCTCTTCTCAGCTCCACCATGAGCTGACCATATATGCCGAATTGGCGCCGTCTCTCTGGATTCAACCATTGTCTCCTCCAGATGCCACGTCCTCTGGCTCCCCTTCTCCGCCTAAAACGGCCTCTGATGAACTCATGAATGTTAAGTTGCTGCGTTAAAACTTCTTGCTGGGCCATAGCAGCCACATACTGCAGCCTCAGTCGATCTGTGTCTTCCATGACAAAAGAATTATTTGATTTTATTTGGTATTCTCTCAATTATTCAGCTTAACGTAGATCCAATTCGTAAGTATTCGTTCCACTGCATACAAGGTTGCAAACTGCCGCAATGGTTCGTAATGGTTCGTAATGGGATCGTCGTCAGTCGCTTGATATGCAAATTATGGGGATACGACCTTATCCCCAGCGACCTGTAACGTCACTTGACGAAGCCAATGCGAAGGTTAACCGATCGTTAACGCATTGAAACGAGTTTCAACGAATGACACACGAAACTTTTATTCGCTGCAATTTTTTGAACATGTTCAAAATTTTCCGACGAAAAAGACTAATTTCAAGCGAGGTAAACGCTGACAAACGCATCTATACGAACACTGCGACGTACTGTCACGAACTCGTACTAATGAGAACGAATTTGACTAATTTCATATTCGCCACTATACGCAAGTTGACGTAAAGGGGTTTTCGTCTGGACATTACAAACAAATGCCATACACGATGGACCATTGGGTCTCTGTTGTACAGATCAAAATTCATGTCAAAAGGTCAACCTCCTACGAAAAACCGAACCATTAGTGCATAAAACACAATTAACCCTAATGTCTGCATGGGGGGGGGGGGGTACCTTTTTGCAAATTTTTTGTGTCTCCGGTTCTTTAGCTTGAGACACAGATAGAAGACACTTTTTGGCGTAAAAGCCAATTTGATTAATTGGGGGTATCAAAATATTGATTGTTATATTGTTTCTTATACTCTAGAAAATACACTGATAACATAATTATGATGATACATGTACCTTCTTCCAAATATTAGATACTATTTTTTTTATTCTCCCCTACCCCCAAGTTTTCAGTTTCACTAATTTGATGTTTATGCCGTGTCTAGGTGGTTGCTAGGCAAACTTATGGACCAAATTATATTGAAATAATTTCAAGTCAAGCATTTACTTGTTTTTACTATATCGTTGATTGGCATTTGTTGTACATCTTTCAAATATGAATGCTAAAGACAATTGGTTTCAATTGGAAATTGCAATACCTGCTATCTTTAAACGGTCAGTTATAGAAAAGCGTTATTAAAATCAGACAAGTAATTAAAAATTGCAAAGGGGAAAATCTCCCTCCTTGCGGCTTGGTGCAAAAAAGGTAAATGTCAGATTTTATTTTTCAAAACTTCCAGCCACTTTTCAAATTACAGTTGACATTTTTTTAATCATAAAATATTCTACTATTCAGTGCAAAACATTCACTTTTTGACACCACTGCGAAGATTAAACAAAGGATGTACTATTTGAATAATAAATGTGCCACTTAAATGTTTTAGTATATTGAAAAAACATTTGCACCCTAAGTAACATCATCGTGATGTCATTGAGGCTGTAGATTTTAATTTTTTTGATCTCAAATGTTTTACATATGCTAAACTTGAAAATAAACCAATGTTGATTTCTAACTAGGTTGAAAAGAAGAATATATTGCGTTTTAGATATCAATATACCATTGGTTTCCATGAGAAAGAAACTTTTGGAATGCATTTTCCTCTGAACCACTTGCATGCTTAGACGAGTTCATTTCTCTATTATTCAACCGATTTTCTTTATTTTTCTACAAAAGACACATGAGGATGAATGCTACGCATTAGTGTGAATTATCGTTTATTGAAACATATTTATGAGCTATAGAAATTAGTTTTAAATAAATTCATGATTTTTCGAACAAAAAATCCATCAAAAACCACTTTTTGAAATTTAAAAACAAAGTTTCATATATCACATTTTATAACATTGGCTAAAATTACAATATTACGTGTATTAGCCAAAGTGGTTTAAACTTTATATGTGGCCTTTAATTTGGTAGATTGCCAATATTCTTGGTCCATGATTTTACTAAGTACCCATCTAGTAACGGCTAAAATTTGGATGAGATAATCATCATAATCCTGTTAACACGATTTGCACAAATATTCCGGAACATGCAAAATTCATTGGTATTCATCAAGTAGCTAGTTGTCTCTCAAAGCGATTCGCGAATATTTGCCGACTACACTGAAGCTGTAACTGTAATTGAATCCAGCATTTGGGGATTATGTATCCCAGCTTATTAGATACAGGAGGGCGTGTTCAAAATATATAGATAGATTTTATTAGATACAGGAGGGCGTGTTCAAAATATATAGATAGATTTTAAATCAAGACACCACATTATAGTGATAAAGTGTTTTGTCAAGGTTATACTTCTAAGAAGTTCAGAAATTTTATTGGGGTTTTCTGAAAAATATAGGTCTATTGGAATTTTAGACTTTTACACCTTCTAACGGATTTTAGGGTCTTAACATATTTTGCAATAACTCTGCAACAAAAGAGGCTTTATAATTCTGATTTCAGTTTTGAATAGTTATTATTCAATCACCTTCATATACATAATGTGTATTATATGTAAACCTACACTCCCCTCCATAAGTTTGGCAACCTTTTTTCCCCATTGAACTACTTGTTAAAGCCTCTTTACCTTTGAATTTTTATTTACTTAACCTGCGATGAAAATACTTATACTGTTGATGGAAACGTAATTTGACTTTAATTCCAATACCTCCAAATTTTCTCAATTTTTTTCCTCAATTATAGTAGGTCGAAAATTGATGATGAATTTGATGAATTTTTGAAAATCGACATTTCCATGTTAACCAATGGGAAATGGTAGGTTTGCCGCAAGTCATATGACAGAATATCCATCCATCCGAGTCCTTGCAAAAAATACGAGTTAGGCAGGTAATTGAATATGCTAACTTTATTTAACAAAAAATTGATATGTTTCTTCAGGTTCAACAAAGTTATAGGGCTTTAAAGTCAAAATTGTTTTTCAAAAAACCTCTCCCATTGAAATAACACAGGAGGCGAAAAATTCTTTTCAAAAATGACTTTGAAGCGCTGTAACTTTAATATTCATCAAATAAACTAAACACTTAGTGTTCAAAAAAGTTAGACAATTCAATTTTCTATATGAAAATATTTTTTGCTGAATCTTTTACTGAAAAGATATCCTGACTTCTGATTTGCCCCGAACCCTCCATTTCCCATTGGATTACATGGGAATGACGATTTTCAAAAATTCATCAAATTTATCATCAATTTTTGACCTATTGTAATTGAGGAAAAAAATTGAGAAAATTTGGAAGTATTGGAAATAAAGTCAAGTTACGTTTCCATTAATATTATAAGTTATTTCATAGTCGGTTATTAAGTAAATAAAAAATCAAACGTAAAGAGGCTTTAACACGTAGTTCAATGGAGAAAAAAGGTTGCCAAACTCATGGAGGGGGGTGTATCTTGAATGCAATAAAAATAGAAGTAAACTTTATCACACGGGGTCGATCAAGTGTCTCATCATTTTTAGCATTCCAAAGCATTTATATATAACAATATATTATTTTAATATATCATTGGATGACGTTCTTTGACCTCGGCAAGTACAAAAAGTTATCATGCGATTTACATCCGGTTTGTTTTATCTGAAAGGAAATGAATCAATTGAGGATTAGGTGGAACTGTTATGTAGATTGAATAATTATTTTTAATATAATTCAAAATCCATTTAAGGGTTAATTTATGTAATCATAATTTTTGTCATATTCACATTTGAATTTCAAAATGTCATTATATTAGAAATTGATATCAACATTTAAATAATACTTCATACATCAGTCGGGTTGATCTGTCCCTATAGACATGAGATTATATTCAAGTGCAGTAATTTGTTATTAAGTCTTTGAAGTTTAAACAGTCTCGATAATCAGTCGGCGATAATCAGAAGGTCGTGTATTCAGAAAATAAAAAGTGATTACCTGGAAACAATGACTATTGCATTGCTTTAAGCATTTAAAAGTAGTAATTGCTCCAGGATCAACTAGTCCGGATTTAAAATGATTATTGTGAAATAATAATCGCTAATTATATATTAATTCCGAGCTGTTTTTGTTCAGTGGTACATGCGAAACAAGTTCGAATCTATCAAGATGAGAGTAGCGTACTTGCCAATTATTTTTCTTGTATCTGCAATGGGAGTTGTTATTTCTCAAGGAAGAGAATCGAGTAAGTCATTGCCTTTTTATAATATGCCAAAGTTTATCTTAAACAAAAAACGAGATTTTCATAAACGTATAACGACTTGATAGCACTAAAAGTATATATTTTATAAGCCTATTCCAATGTGCATTTTCGTTTTAATTATAATGTATAATGATAAAACAATATGTATATGTCACGGGTGACACTGAAATAAAATGTTTTAAACTAAAAGTTCAGAGGTTTGAATACTGAATTTTGAACTATTTGAGAGAGATGTTATTGTAACAAAAGAAAAAACTCGCACGTATGACGTGTTACGTCAGAATAGTGTATGCTTTTATGTTCCCATATTCGCCATATGTTAAGATGTGACCATTTTATCAAATATTACTTTTCGTAAACTTTACCAATTAATCCGTTGCATATTTTTTAACCCCAATGTCTGCAGGACGGGGGGTTGGGGTGTAGATTTTTTCGACGGGGGGGGGCAATCTGACCCCTTATCGATTTTTTTACAGTACTTTTTGACTCAAAAATTCGTCCATCCGTCGGTCCGTCCGTGCGTCAACATTGACCGCACTAATTCACCAAGCAAGAAAGTCCAATGGTCATGCAGTGAGAGTACTTAATATGTAGTTTTAATGCTTTTATGATCAGTTAAAGTAACGGAGCATGTATAATTTGAAGGTGCATTTTATAATAATTTTATTTCCATAATTAGTGCTTGAAATTTCCTAAGTTAAATATTATCAGTACAAATCGTTTATATAAATGTCTCATATATGCACCAAGTTTGATGAGGTGGCTTCAACGAGTTGCTAAGGTAGGGAATGACTTGCAAACTTTATTGATCGCACCTCGTATAATTCTTTTGCATTGAACAAATTAATATATCGGGTGTCTCAAAAAATCTACCCAAAAGTATATCAACAGCACAGATAAAACAATCAATATTTACATGATTTACATTTTTGCATGATCATGTAGCCAAAACATGAACGTTTTCTCCCCAACACACCATTTTTATTTCAGTCTTGCCTTTTTGATGCGTTGCCCCTTTACCTTTTACACCGCATGATCAATGTAACCTCATATTTCGATGACGGCCTGTATGCTTACTGCTGCATTATTCATCACAATTGATAATAATTCTGATGGAATGTTTTGGATTTCTCTTTGGGTGTTGCCCTTAAGTTGTTCTAGTTTTTTTTGCTTGGAATGAGCATTAAAACACTCCTTCAAATAGCCACAGAGGAAGACGTTTGAGGATGACGATGGTAGAACAGAGACAGATAATCGGGTCAATTACCGGCAAATGATTCAGGAGTTAGCTTCCACACTGGTGATCCACTCGATTACGCTGGTTACCGAAACAACGGTCCGTTTCGGAAACAAAATGTCGGAACATCGAAGGTACGATTTTTGTCTTTTCCTTATTTCACATGTTGTAGGCAGAATTCCCACGACACTTTTAACACAAACGTATATCGGTGTCATATGTTTAAGAAAATGTACATATTTGCGAACAATTAGTTCAGAAGACAACAGAATCGTCGATTTAATTCCTCACTTAAGTTACAGAAACGGGTTTTCGAAAAACAGTTAAGATCTGCACTTTTAACTAAAATCATTTATGTAACTTAATTTAGTGAAGAATTAAATCGACGATTCTGTTGTCCTCTGAGCAATTTTTTTGCAAACATGTACATTTTCTAAAACATATGATACTGATGTACGTTTTGAGAAAAAAACGTCGTGAAGATTCTGCCTACAACAAGTGAAATAAGGAAAAAAGAAAAATCGTACCTTCGACGTTCCAACATTTTGTTGCCGAAACGAACCAGCGTGATCGAACGGATCACCAGTGTTGCAGAGTTACGGAGGCTAGCCTGGAGACCAAATGATATCCAAATGAAGACCCAGTGGTCTCAAATTGATTGAGCCCCTCTACAAACAACAAAAGCTACACTAGAATCCCAACCAATGCAGTTTCTTGACAAAGAAAAATCGTACCTTCGACGTTCCAACATTTTGTTGCCGAAACGAACCGTTTCGGTAACCAGCGTGATCGAACGGATCACCAGTGTTGCAGAGTTACGGAGGCTAGCCTGGAGACCAAATGATATCCAAATGAAGACCCAGTGGTCTCAAATTGATTTAGCCCCTCTACAAATAACAAAAGCTTCACTAGAATCCCAACCAATGCAGTTTCTTGAACGTCTGACCTCTCTGTACAAGGGGCTGACATTGTGAGGGCCTCCCTATTCACCAGATTTGACGGCCCATACTTTTTTCTCTGGGGCTATTTGATGCACTATTTTTATGCTAAACCCAAGCTAAGAGACCTAGAACAACTTAAGACACCCTATATATCATCTGTCTTCTATTATAATTAATTCTCATTCCATACGTTCTAAATTTATGAATGACTCGTGTATGGATTACATTTTAGTCTGCGCTGATGTAGTCTTTGCTCTGGAGACATCGTGTAGCATCGACGACGAAACCAAAGCCCTTGCCAAAGTTTTCATCTACGACTTTGTGACAACGTTTGATTCTGTTAAACAACAAAATGTGAGTAATGTCGCCACCCAATTCGGGTTGTTAGCGTACGATGCCACATCACGCATTGTGTTTACATTCAGTGACGCTCTATCCAAACAGGAAATTCTGCAAAAGATTGACACTTTTAAGATGGAAACAATTAAATGTAGAACAAATACTCATAACGCCATTAACATGGCAAGAGGTGATTTCTTTGAGTCAGCAATGAACGACGGACGCACTCCCGATGTGCTCGTTATTTTAACAGATGGACGCACACAACCACAAAAGCATATTCAAAAAACTACGGACGCTGTCCAAAAATTGCGGGAAACAGTACGAACTATCGTTATTGAGTTACCACACAGGAAGGGACTTGAATCGTTACCAGATACAATTGAGCAATTAAATACACTGGCTGATGCTGAAGATCGCTTTAAACTTGATAAAGACTCATACATAAAGGAACTTGCGATTGAGGTGTTTGATCATTTGTTAGAAAAAAGCGAATTTGTTTGCCCACCAGGTAGGTTCTGTGTACAACCACGTAAAAATTTCTTAAAACGTGTCGCTTAACCTCTCTATTTAACACTATACGTTATATCCAGTAAAATATTATGACAGTACAACATGTTTAATTAATCAAGTAATACAAAAATCTTTCTGGACTACAATATTAAACTCATTTGTACTTCAAAAGTGTACTTGCTTTCTTCTTTCAAGACTACAGTAGTAAAAACTGAACAATCTGTACATCAAACTTGTACTTGCTTTCGTCGTTTAAAATTATAATAATAAACACTGAACGAAGTGAACTTCAAGCTTGTACTCACAGACTGTTATCGAAAGATCTGTCCACTGTGACGGAGCATGCTATTTTTCATAAAAGCACAAAGAATACTTCACGATTTATTTTCTAACTCACATGTTTCGCAATATCATATCAAAGACAATTACATTCAATGGATATATCATTTGCGGGTAACCTTCACTTCTGTTTGAAGTCCAATAACGTTAGGAGTGAAAGCTATTGAAAACGGCGCCAGAGTATCAAACTATAAAATGTACCATTTCCTTTTTAACTGATATATTGACACGATAATATTAACATATGTTTTCAGCATAACTCGTAATTTATCAATGAGATATTGATGTGTTGGGTCTTTTTAGTTTTTCAATGAAAAATAATTTGTCCGCTGTGACCAGAAGCACTCGTTGGCATAAGCTGCGCCCTCAAAACCTGGGTTTGCCGTTATCCAAATCCGCCTTTGCAAAAATGTGAACGGTTCATAAATTGGGGTCGTTCGTGTTATTTTCGGGAGTTTTCAAATCTGGATTTATAATTGCTTTTATTAGAAGGGTTCCTCGTTATTAATACTGTATTGTAAAATTTTGACCCCGACTGATACAACAGAAATTGTGAACACTGAAGGACAGTAATGGCGCGAATTTAATTCAAATATTATCCATAATTATGAATAGAAATAAATATTTTTCACGTTCCTAATCTCAACTGGTCAGTCTTTATTTGTTTTAGTAGCAGTTGTACTGACATATAATCTTAGTCAAAATAGATAACGAACGAGTATAAGGGGTCTTCTAACTTTGCACATTTTAGACCAATCAAAATACATAACTATTTTTAATATGTTTAACGTCTTGGAAGATACAAAATAACACATACAAAATTCTATTTAAACGATTTCTTATTTTTCCTGGCCTCATTAAACACTTATTTCGTTTGGAATGGCCTTAAACCCTGGTGAACCCTGGTCAGCGAAACAAACATTTAAAAAAGGAATTAGCGCATTCGGGTGCGACTGTAAACCTCTTGTTCACTGTCGTATAAATCATGAATGTAGTTTTGCACAGGTATCAACGGAAACAAATAGTGCACCCTGCTTTCCTGAACCCGGTGTAAAAGGGTAGGAGGTCCTATCAAATTATGGTCCTACTCTCAATTAATTTATATGGTGACCTAAATACAACTCTTTCCCTCATTATCATATACGCAATCAGGGTCAGTAAGGGCCGTTAAGAAAGGGGACCATAATCCCTGGGGGACCATCATTTCTTTCACACCAGGTTTCAAGGATTCGCCTCGCATGCCTTCGACTCTTTCTCGCTGTGACGGATCAGTTTCACAGTTCACATTTGCAACTGCTCTGTCACAGCGGACAAAAAAATTAAACATTTATTTTTATAAAATATTAAAAAGACCCGAAAACATCTACATCTTATTAATAACTTCATAGTTGTGCTGAAAACATATGTAAATGTTATCGTGTCACTACACCGTGCCATTAAAAAGTTGAACAAGATATGGTACATTTTACAATATGATACTCAGGCACCATTTCAATAGCTTTTCCTCACATTAGTTAAAGTTACCCGCAAATGATATATCCATTGCATGGAGTAAGTAATTCTCTTTGGTATAACAAAACATATGAGTTAAAAATAAATAGTGTGGTTTTCTTAGTGTTGCTATGAAAAAAAACATGGTCCGTCACAGGAGACTAATCTTATCTTTCGATACCATTCTGCGGTACTTGCTTTCTTCTTTCAATACAACATCATTTAACACTTGACGAACTTGCTTCAATATTGTATTTGCTTTCTTCTTTTAAGAATACAGTATGGATAACTTGACGAACTGTACTTAAAACTTGTACTTGCTATCTTATTTCATGACTACAGTATTAACAACTTGACGAACTGTACTTAAAACTTGTACCTGCTATCTTCTTTCAAGACTTCAGTATTAAACACTGAACGAACCTTACTTCAGACTTATTCTTGCTTGGTTCTTTCAAAACTACAGTATTAAACACTGAACGAACTGTACTTCAAACTTTTACTTGCTTTCGTCGTTCAAGAACTGTACTTCATCACTGTAGTCACGACTCTGAGCAAATTGTGCTCTTAACCTGTACTTGCTCTCTTCTTTTAAGATATATTCTCGTCGCTTATTATAAAATGTGACGAAAAGCACCATTCCATTTTCTGAATGGTATTGTATAAAATAACTGTGTTTACCGGGAAGCCTCTTATTAATGCTTCCAAAATTTAAAAACAGTTAATCTTTAAAACTACAGTAATTCAAATATGTAATTTATTAGTAGGAATGTAAACTATAACTTTGGGGCGAATTAATCCAATTTAAGCTTACCCAGCGCATCCATGTCACGAGAAGTGCCAGTATACACCTCCGCCCCCAAAAACAGTACAGCCGGGACTACGACGGTTTAGCCGAGTCAATGCAATGCTTGATTGCACCTATGAAGACAATTGTGACATCCAGTTCCTCAAAGATTTTGCAGCTGAACTTGACCTACAACCTAAATGCAAAATGTATTACCCTTTAAAGGTAATTAAAATGATTGTACCCACCCACATGTAGTACATTCAAGTACATGTGTCTCTATGTCATTCAGAATCTCTACTTGATTCATTTCACTGACTTAAGGTTTTATCTTGTTTAAATTGTTTCTGATTATTTTAGGCAGTTGCAGAGAATCGTTTATATGTTATATATGGATGTGAAAGTGAAGGATATCTACAGAAAGCTTTGTTAACAAAGGATTCGCGCTTCAAATGTCAAGTACAACCAATAATGGACTATCATGACTTTGCAATACTTACTCTTGGTCTCAATGTGTCCCAAGAAATGACAGATGCTATTATGCCAAGAGCTTCACTAAAGTGTGAACATCTGATCGCTGTATTTCGCGAGATTGAATACCCGCCAGGTGTGAGATAATTTCATAACTCTCTCTGATTGTTCATTTGTCCAAAGTAATTGATTTCAACTATACAAAATACTAGCTTTAAAGAAAGGGTTAAAACAATATCCTGAACTATGCTGTGACGTCCATTTACAAAAACAACCACAACCCCTAGCATTCATGTAACCCCAACGTATCATTAATATATATTGATTGCATTAACAAATATTAATCATCTACATATGTTTCTATGCAGGAAAGACCTTTGAGGAAATCATGACTGCCTGGAAGGAACATGCGCGTGATTTGTTCTTGTCTCATGCTGGTTTCACCTGATTGTAAAATCTAGACAAGTTCATATTGGTTGGATTGCACGTATTAACTATTAATTAACACATGTGCGGTGAAACATTATCAACAAGACTTTTAACTCTAAATCCTACCGCATATATTTCTTCTTATATTTCTTGATTTTCGGAGCATTTTGGCAAAATACTGATTGGGGAACGTAAAATAATATATAAGTTTTGTTAAAATTGAGTATAACTGTTATGATAACGGGGACTACTATCTTCTCCAAATTTTGGTGATTTCTTCATCTGCCCGCCGCAGTGTCTATTCCAAGACACTGCATGGGAGTTTGATGACAGCGCAGCGGGAATTATGGAAAGAAACATGTCAAATGGAATTTTTTTTTTTTGAAATCAAAGTCGAGGGCTAGAGAGAAATATTTTAAGGCAAGACTTTAAATTGAAGCAACGTGAATTTGATAAAATGTATAGGCGGTCTTAACGTTCTTATGCAGCAAAATTAAGAGACATATTGTCAAAATGTAGACGAATAATCCTAAGCAAATGTGAAAAACAAGTCCGGAACGATTTACATTGGGTAGTTATGCTCACCGTGAAATTGAACAATTATGGCGATTCATTTTATTAAGTGACACATACAATGACCTTCTGGCTTTATTTTGGCTGCAGGCTGTCATATCATCCGGTTTTAGCATTTACAGTTTTGTTCAATTACATTTTATTATCGAAATATCTATTACATGTCATGTGTCATGTGTGGGTGTTAACCCTTGCGCAGCATGATATTGCGCTATTACCCGCAATGATTTCGAATCTGTTGCCAAAATGGCTGCCATTTTAACAAATTGTTGAAGCTGTGTCTCTGGTTCAAATGTGTCAATTGTTCCTTCAAGTATGTCAGAAACACTATGACATCATAATACAATACCATTTTGTCATTCAGGGATGTTTCAAGAAGATTTATTGGTGCATTGAATTCAATAAGTCAATGTTTTATTTGTTTTTAATAACCAATGTGTGTAAAGGTGATATAGTAAATAAGACCTGCCCCGACCCCCTTATCCCTTGGTTCCTATAGCAACCATATCACACAATATATCGTACGCATTATTATGATGTTTTTGTATATGAAGGATGGATTACTGCCAGACATACATACCAAGTTTCAGCAAGAATAGATAAAATTTGATGAAATGAGAACAAAAATTTCAAGACTTTTTGGACAACCCTAGTATGTTGCAAATATCGTCATTTAGTTGATTATTTTTAAAATTTTCATAATAAATCGTTTTAACCTTTAAAAAAGACTTTCCTTTCATGTCATGAGTTTGAATTACATGTGATACAGTAGAACTATTGGGAATAAATCTGAATGTATTTTGTATTTTAATGACACAATCCGACTAATTACGTCAAGTTTTCAACTATAGTCAGCAAAAAAGGTTTTATGAATCAAGTTTCTACGAGTAGCATCAGTGTTCCAGTACGATCACTATGTCCAAACTACATCCATTTGATAAGTACTCCCGTCCAACACCACGCGAAGAAATATAAGTTCATGTAGTTTCTTATTTATAATACTTTATTTCTCATAAAACTTCATATTGTATGCAACAGTTGTATTGGGTAAAAAAGTAACAAGAAAAACAACCCCAACTATCCCAAAGTACAATCAATTTCATCAAGGCTGGGCGCTGTAAGTGCTGTGCGCCAAACTAGCTGTGAAAAATTATCCCTGTTCCAAAGAGTAAGGTCACCATTTTTACAAAAAATGATCAATCACCAGGGGGAGGGTCCAGATTAAAATATTGCTGACATTAGGGCTAATCGATGATTTAATGATAGCGGATTCAGATAACTATCAATTAACTATGTCGCAATAAATATTGAATTTTTGTCTAAAAAATGCGGGTCTGTACCGGATTGGTACCACATGCGAAACAAACTCGAACAGGACACGATGAGAGTTGTCCACTTGTTTATTATTGCACATTTATGTGCTATAGGAGTTTTCTCTCAAGGAAAACAATCAAGTAAGTCATGGATTTTTCATAGTTGCCAACAAAACGAGATTTTAATGAACATATAATGGCTTCATAGTACAACTCTGTATAGAAGTTTTCATAAGCATATACAGGCTGATTGTGCTACATTTTGTTTGGATTGTAAAGCATAATCACTGGTGGTCCGCTCGATTAATCTGGTTACCGAAACGGTTCGTTTTGGTATCAAAATGTCGGAACGTCGAAGGTACGATTTTTCTTTTTTCCTTATTTCACGCGTTGTAGGCAGAATCCCAACGACGTTTTTTCTCACAAACGTATATCAGCATCATGTGTTTTAGAAAATGTACATGTTTGCGAAGAAATAGCTCAGAAGACAACAGAATCGTCGATTTAATTCCTCACTTAAGTTACATAAACGGTTTGGGTTAAAAGTGCAGATCTTAACTGTTTTTCGAAAAACCGTTTATGTAACTTAAGTGAGGAATTAAATAGACATTCTGTCATCTTCTGAACTATTTGTTCGCAAATATGTACATTTATAAGAAATAAGGAAAAAAGAAAAATCGTACCTTAGATGTTCCGACATTTTGTAATGTATAATGATAATACAATGCGTATATATCACAGGTGACACCGGAATGCAATATTCTATAAACAAAGAATTCAGAGGTTGAAATACTGAATGATAACCCATTCCCAAGCTCTTATTTGGCGTTAATAAAAGTTCAAGACAAAGGGGCCCGATTAGTGCAAGTTACCATGCTTATTCTCAACCAGTGCCTCAAAAGTATGGAGTCATGTCATAGAAATTGGGAGACACATTGCTTAACGATGACGATTAACACGAATTTGGAATAGTTTATGAGGAAGCTGAGTTTGAAATATGTTTAAAAGTCAGGTTCCAATGTTTTTTGCAGTGGGAAGTAAAGATCGAGTACTAACAAGATTTAAATTACCTAACTGAAAGATGGTCGTTGGTGATATTATATAAATAAGGATATAATCAGGAATACATATGATTTATTTCTTATATATCTACCAAGCTTGGTGACATGACTCCAACTATTTGCTGAGAAGAAATGGATTGAAAATTTCATTCATCGCCCTTGCATCATACTTTGTCTTGGACAAATGTACAAATGAATACGCATCATCTGTCAGCTAGTATGATAAATTCTCAATTCATACGTTGCTTCTAAATTTAAAAAATAATGAATTACATTACAGTCTGCGCTGACATAGTCTTTGCACTAGAGACATCGTGTAGCGTCGACGACGAAACTAAAGCGCTCGCCAAAGTTTTCATCTACGATTTTGTGACAACGTTTGATTCTGTAAAACAACAAAATGTGAGTAATGTTGCCACCCAGTTCGGGTTGTTAGCGTACGATGCCACATCACGCATTGTGTTTACATTCAGTGACGCTCTATCCAAACTAGAAATTCTGCACAAGATTGAAATGTTTAAGATGGAAACAACAGATTGCAAAACTCTGACTCATAATGCCATTAACATGGCAAGAGGTGATTTCTTCGAGTCAGCATTTAACGACAGACGCACTCCCGATGTGCTCGTTGTTTTAACAGATGGACGCACACAACCTAAGAAATATATCCCAGAAACTACGGACGCTATCCAAAAATTGCGGGAAACAGTACGGACTATCGTTATTGAGTTACCAAACAAGAAGGGGCGTGAATTGTTACCAGACACTATTGAACAACTAAACACACTGGCTGAAGCTAAAGATCGGTTTAAACTTGATAAAGACTCAGACATAGAAGATATTGCGACTGAGGTTTTTGATCATTTGTTAGAAAAAAGCGAATATGTTTGCCCGCCAGGTAGGTTTTATCTACGTTCACCAACAAATTAAAGTCCTTCAAAACTTGTAGATTTACCTCCCAATGCTCAATTAAAATGATAAAGTATATACATTAAACACTGGAATTAATTAATCAAGACATTACCAGCTCCCTTATTCCAAGCGCTACAATTTTGTAAATCATTTTATGACGTTTTAAAATATTTATCGTTTATGTTGCATGTTATTCTAATAGTACACTAATTGGGAAATTTAGTGTATAAACACTAAAGATACTTTATGCTTATAATTGCAGTAATTGGAATATGTAAATAATTACTAGGCATGTAAAGTATAACTTAACAATAGGTCGAATTAATCAATTTTGAGCTGACCCAGTACATCAATCACGAGAAGTGCCATACTTCTTCACCCAAAAGTCAACACAGCAGAGACTTCAGCTAATAAAGAGATATAATGATGGTAGACTCTCTGTATTCAAGCTGATCCAGTGCATCCATGTCGCGAGAAGTGCCAGTATACAAATCCACCAGCAAAGACAGCACAGCCTGGACTTCGACAGTTTAGCCGAGTTAATGTGATGCTTGATTGCACGTATGAAGAGATGTGTGACATCCAGTGTCTCAAAGACTATTAATAAACCCTTTCTATTTTAGCTGATCCAGTGCATCCATGTCACGAGAAGTGCCAGTATACAGCTCCACCCCAAAAGACAGCACAGCCGGGACTTGGGCGGTTTAGCCGAGTTAATGTGATGCTTGATTGCACATATGAAGAGAATTGTGATATCCAGTTCCTCAAAGACTTTGCAGCCGAACTTGACCGACAACCTAAATGCAAAATGTATTACCCTTTGAAGGTGATTGAAATTATTTTACCCCGCCCTATATTATTTAATCTATTTATTTTTATTTATTTAGAATCTACATCTTTGAAACGATGGCACACTAAAATGAAATTATTATAGGTGCGTCTAAAACATATTACAGTATTTAAAACAAAGTACCTAACATTAGATGTGTGAGATTTAGTCATACTTGTATCTCTAGGCTTGCATACTTTACTTAAAAATGTTTTTACAATCTTGTCAACATTTTTAAATTGATCATGCCCCCATAATAAAAATACATTATCACCTAAAATAAAACCAAGTTTCTTTTCTGAACTTGCAGAGATAAAATAGGAAAATATAATGTCATTACATTTCTGTCTTATACTAAAATAAAGTGATTGACGCTCATCATTAAAATGAATACATTCCAAAATTCTGTGTTGAACAGTGTCCTTCTTTTTTGCATTACAGAATGAACAAAATCCATCACTCATGCGCCATGATTCATAATTGGTTTCTAATGCAAAAATGTTAGCTCTGGCCATGAACTTCAGTTTGCACCCGTAGAAGTCATAGTCATTCTTCAGATAATTTTCTAGATATGGATGATTTTTGAAACTGGAATAAAGTGATAGTGAACTATATTTTGAAACTTCATAGTGGAATTTTACGTCATTTTCACATTTACTAATCTTAAGGTATGACGCATACAAATCATCATCATTTCTAAAGATGACATCATCAAGACCTCTATCACTTAATAACTTATGAATGGTTGAGATGTACTTCCAAGGGCCTTCTTTGTTTTCAGTAAATTGGATCATTAGAGCATTTAGAATCTTATGTGGTAGGGATGATGGTATTTTAAAGGACGGGTGTCATTAAGGGCCCTTTTTAGCCCCCAAAGATATCTGATAATAATGCATATCATATTGAAGAAAAATCATTTGTGCTTTATAAAAATACAATTTCAGCGAATTTTGACCTTTGATGTTCACACAACAGTCATTTAAAGATCATATACCATTTTTGGTGTTTTTACAAAAAATTCTTTATTTATTGTTGTCTAAGTAAATAGTATATAAATATTAACCAATTTAAATATATTAAAATGTAATATATGAAATACTGAAGAAAAGATACGATTAAAATTATTTTCATGGAAAAGCACATAGGGCAATATTGACAAAATGCAAATTCTATTTTGGTAGGTTCTGGGCTAGCAATGGGTACATTTCAACTGTGACTGTAATGGATTACTATTGACTTTTATCAACATCACAGGGCAACATTTAAGCAACTTAAATACAAGGAAAATCAAAGATTTCCTCTCATTTCTAAAACGAGGAACAAAAGCATGAATTCAAGGAAAATAAATGATGGCCTGTGCCAAAATATATAACATATGAGAAAGTTGTGGCACAGTAAAGGATATGTATAGGATATTATATGATTTTAAATGATTTTATCTTTATCTCCGAGTTGATATCAATATCTTTCCCAAGTTAGAATAGCGAATTAGCGCAGATATTGATATCAATGAGTTGGATTAACACAATATCACGAAAAATCATAGGATGTTCTATTTTCCCATAGTTCACCTCTAAAACGAAACAAAGCATATCAAAACAACATCCATTCATCCCCGTGATGTCATGAAATCACTATGTAACAAAACACATCATATTGGTGGTAGTTTTCAAACCCCTGCCAAAAGGTGATATCTGTGAAATATTTTTCGTATTCCACAGATATCACTTTTTCCACGCATTTGCAAAATATCACAAATATGTTTTCATGTTACCTAACAGAGCGGAACAGAGTTCAACTATGGGATAAAGAATAAAAAATAGGTACATAATTGAATTACCACTCCAAAAATATTAAATATGAGGGTTTGAAGAAAGAATATTGAATATGAGATTCAAAAAGACAAGTGGACTCATGTCTCACATTACCCAAACCCCAGATCCTCGATGTCATATATACTTGTATACTGTATATCAATGTTATTTACTGGGAGGATTAAATATGGAGTGTATAGCAATGGTCAATACGATATTTCCAGATAGATATTTTTCCCTAGAAGCGGAACCCAAACTCAGTCAGAACATAGAAGCTAACTTTTGCAATTAATAGAAACTTGTTTTTTATTATATTTTTGTGTTCTATATTTGAGATGAAATAATATGAGATTCATTTCTACAAGGATGGAACGAATGTGAACTTGTATATTGAACTTTACTCCTTTTCTGAATAAACAGAACAAAAGCCAATTAAGAAAACCAAGGCCAATGAGTGTAATTTATGCCCAGTTAAACTAACACAATAACAACTTTTTGTCTGGACTCACTTATTATGTAAGAATGAATTGTATTACTGTTTACTGCATTAAATGTCAAGTATACTATCTGTATTTAATTTCAAATGCCTATCTCACTTATCGAAGGTATACAAGAAATGTTATTTTGAAACAAATTCAGCACAACCAAAACCATGTCCACATATATGACAAATCCAAGATGGCTGCCACAATTTTAGATCCATGCAGATGTGAAGAAGTTAGAAATACACATGGTCCACAAGTTCCATCCCCAATAAAATGGGAAGTTTAAGGTTTTCACACATATCAACTCTATTCCTATATACTTTATATTTGTGGTAAGGCTTGTGATCTAGGTAAACTTAGCATGTTCATGTACCTCATATCCTCTGAAGCTAAAAACAGAAATAGTGACTTCAATTGAGAAAAATGAATCTTATGGGCTCCATATACATTTTGAGTGGCTGTCCGGCTTAAGTTAGATACTACTGATAATCTGAGATTGAAAATTATGTCAAGTTTAGTCCTCAGCCTCTCATGATGGATAACTTCGAGGTAATTGTGTTGTCACTGCAAAAACCTCTATTTCTTCATCACAAATCTACCATCTTTTGCATCTGTCAAAACCCTTCATTTCATGTTAATTTTCAGACTTTTGCTTGTGCCATCATTAAATATATATATTCAACTTGTTATTCAGAATATTTCAAGAACTTTTCATGAATTTTTTTATTTTCACACTTTTGAAAAAATGTCTAAGTCAGAGAATGGCCTCTTAATGGCATGTCCCCTTTGAGGTACCTAAAGAAATCTATAGAACGTTTTTCAGCAAGAAAGTTAATTGGGGACCAACCAAGGTCACCTAATAATGCAGAACTGGCTGGCTTGCCCCTTAGCTGGAACACTGCTTGCCCAACCATATATTGGATAGATTCAAGGGTTTTCCTGCTTTCATTTGTTAAAGCGGACCAAATCGGGGAACTGTGAAGTAAGGCAGGTTCTATCATGGACTTATATATTGTTGAACCATATTCAATTCGTTTCACATTACAATGCTTAGTGAGGGTCGAAGCTGTGTAATTAATCATCTTACGTGCTTTCTCCTGTAAAAATTTATTGATATGGAATGAATCTTTAAGGTTACTATGGAACATATATCCAAGGTATTTATATTCCCTGACTTCACTCAGTTTTAAGTCCCCTAGTTTCCATACCCTGTCAGTGTCAACCCTTTTCCCTATAATCATGAGATTCGACTTCTTACTACTAAATTTAAATCCCCATTTTACGCCAAATTTATGAACTTTACTTAACAACTCTTTTAATCCATTCTCATCTTTTGCTAAAAGAACAATATCATCTGCGAATAATAATGTGGGGATGTACGACCCTTCAAATGGAACGCCAAGACCTTTGGACATTAAAGTATCTTCCAAATCAGACATAACTACTGAAAATAATGTAGGTGAGAGAATACAGGGTGTCAAATGGCGTTGTACCCCCCCCCCCTTCACAGCATAAACTAGGAAAGATACACACACAATACCATATACCATTGGAAAGAGCATTTAATTGTTGTTAACATGTGAAAAGATGAAGATGCATGATGAAAAATAAGATATATTTTTAAGTTACTTTTAAAAGTGAGTATGACCCCCTTGGGCAACCTTAACCGCTGCCAATCTAGCCGGATATGAAGCTAAAATGGAATGGAAAGGGCTGTGTCTCTCTCAAGAGATTTTAATACTTCGTAATGAAACTAGCACCCTCATCTCGGGCTTCTCTATATGCAATACACCTTATTCTGTCACTATATTGCTGATTATCATCATCAATTGTTTTGTCATCTTTATTTCAACTGTGAACTAGCTTTAGTCTAAATAAATAAAATAAGGCGCTACACTTTACAGTCAGCAACTTCTCAAAAATCAATGAAATAGAGCACTACACTAGTACATTTCAAATGCATGTGACACTATGTAGCAATATCTAAACTAGGTCGTCTAGGGTTTATTTTATCCAGAATTGAATGCTCTTTCCAATGACATATATAATGTGTAGGTACCTTTCTAAGTTTATGCTGTGAAGGGGGGGGGGACAACGCCATTTGACACCATGTACACCCTTGTTTAACACCTGTGTTGGAATCAAACTGATCAGTAGAAATATTACCAAACAGGACACTGCTATGGACATTAGAGTAAAGGTGTTTTAACGTTCTCCAAAGTTTACCCTGGATTCCTCGTTCCCAAAGCTTTACGAAGAGCATATCCCTGTCCAGTACATCAAAGGCCTTCGAGATATCAATAAATGCAAATACGTTTTCAACCTATTTGACTTTCTCATACTACATAATCCTTTCAATGTGAATGTGTGGTTTTCTAAGCGCTTACCCTTTTGAAAGGCACCTTGTAAGTGTCCAAGTAGGTTATGACTTTGAAAATAAGACATGATTTTAGATTCTAAGATGCTGGAAAATACTTTTTATACAATTGATGTAATGGTTATTCCTCGATAATTATCAAGGATTTTACGGTCATTATCTTTATGAAGGGGTTTGAGAATACCATATTTCCATTCATTAGGAATTGTTTCATGTATTTTTATCAGTCTAAAGAGGTTAAAAAGGGGCTTGATGAGAAAATCTTTAGCCTGCTTAATAAACTCATTGGGGATTTGGTCAATACCTGAAGCTTTGCCATTAT